AGAATAGCTTCCAAATGTTTTGCAAATAAACCAGCCGACCGGCGGAAGACCTCCACGAACTTCATGTCGACCAAAGCCAGGGATGTCAATCTACGCGTCCGCGGACCGGATCCGGTCTGCTAGTCGATTGCGTCCGGCCCGCTAAGTCTCTTCAAGAGTTAGTATTGGAATTACCATTTTCCGGGGGTATGTGAAAAACATCCCCAGTTGTCATTCACTTGTCACGTCCCCAGAGTCATATAGCACTTAGACTACCCTTTCATCCCGCCGCAGGGATGATGACTCTCTCGCCGGAATGGGATCTCCGCCTATACATTTCTCGGGATGGCGACCCCTTGGTCAATCGGAACCCCGTCCACGTATTGAGCGGCACTCTTTTCCCGTATCGATTGCGACCCCTGTGCGTATCGTCCGTCAAGTTCATCTCCCATCGTTTTTCATGTAGGTCTGAGTGAAAAATTCGATTGAGAAAGGCGGTGGTCACTACGCGGCCGACGGCGTCTTTTCGATCCAAGGCTTGGCGCTCCTGTTCCATTCAGTTGGGATCCCGCCGCTTTCGCCCTCGGGAGTCACTCTCCTTGTGGGAGTTCTCTCTCTCCTTGTGGGAGTTCTCACTCTCCTTGTGGGAGTTCTCACTCTCCTTGTGGGAGTTCCGATTCACGAAGGAGTCCCGAGAAATTTAGGGGCGGAGGTCTCATCCCGGCGAGGGAGTCATCCTTCCTCCAGCGGGATGAAAGGGGATGAAGCTCCATAAGCGGGGACGTTTCACACATCCCCGCCGGAGAGTCCTCATCGAGGTGTGAACACCCCCTAAGTAGGGCGGATGGCGGATGCGCAAGACGTGGAATCCCTCCCGCTCCCTTTCTCGAGAATGGATCGAACAGCCGCAGCGGTCGGAAAGAAAGTGCTCGCTCGAGAGAAGGAGGCAGACTCCTGGAGCCAGGTAGAAGGCACCGCGCACGCGCCCGATCTCGATGGCGCAACTGCGAGGAGGAACTTGCTCATTATTGCATGACTGAATGGAAATTTCGGGGTTTTTTTTCAGCTCGTCAAGTAAAGGTCGTCCCTCTTCGTGTACTTTTGCACCACCGGACGATGGAGCCAGGTCTTACACGCGTTGCCTTTGCCGAGTTTTTGAATGAAATGAAAAAAATCTGCGAAGAGTCAATTTGCACCGTGCGTACGAATGCCTTAAGCAGACATGCATACGAGCGTTCTTTTCAATGTCAATTCTGCGTCGGACAGAAATCCCATTCATGAATGAAGGCATTATTCTACGCCAAGCTGAGTTCCACTTAATGGGCGCTACAAATAGCATCCAAGTAAAGGAAGGGATGATATATTTGCCCATCAGCGCACATAGTCCACGAGAACCTTCGGCCTGGCAACGGAAAGAACACAAAAAAAGCACATCGACATCAGAGATCACTAAGCGTCCTTCGTGGTGGGAATCTGGGCGTATCCTAGCGAGACGTTCTCGGAAATCGGTTGGATGGCTTGGGTCTCTCCAGGTGGCACCAGACTCTCGAGTTCCTGGAATTCATCCGTCATTCCTGATTATTACTTTCACGAATGATCGAGATAATTCCAACATTCCTGAGTGAAACTACACTGTCGCCATATCAGAGGACTACTAGAGACGCCATATTCGCCCTCTGAGCCCCAACTGCCCTTCCCGAGGGTTACGCCAGGAAATTTCGAGCCCATCTTCATTCGGGACGAATATAATATCTTCAAGAATGAATTGGTTTGGAAAATCAAACATGGACATGGAGAAAGGTGTGGTGCGGTTCAGTGCTACACTTAGACCTTGAATGTAAATCCCGACATTAATTTATTTATTTCACTGATCTTTTTCTGATCACTTTCACTTTCACTGATCTCTTTCACTGATTATTTTCACTGATCTTTAATTTCAATATTCATCCAAGAGGCACAGTGTCAGGTACATCCATGTTGCAACGTATACAGCTCAAACGTAGCGCATGTCCTTTCTGTCCTTTCTGAATGAAAAACTGTCCTTTACCTGGAAGACTTTAGCCTGTTTCATTTCAATACCAAATTCACTTCATGAAACACATCAGCCATTTTGTACGGATGGCTCCCCCTTTTGTCCTTCGAAACATCTTTGTCTCTTGATGGAGAAAACAAGGGTATAATGGAACAGATGAGAGTGATAAAAAATACCTGGTTTGTACCAAATAAGTTAGTTAAATGTTGTGGAACACACATTTAAGTTACATCCGCACCTTTTGCAATAATGTATTACCATGTTTATAGCATATTAATGCTTAGTTCATGAAAACGTAGCGGAATTGAACTAGCAATATATTCAATATAATATTGTATGCTGTCAGTGAGTCCAATAAATCAAGTCATTTTAATATACTATGATGACTCTCATGTTACAGACTGTCATGGCGAAAGCAAAAAATTAAAAACCTGGTAAAACTGCGGAAATTCGGGCGCTTGTGCAGTTGAGCATTCTCATTTGCTTACTCCAGTCTGAAAATGTGACCAGGGACTGCACACCAAAAGATATTCTAGTCTGCACGTCCTCCACTGAAGTAAATAGACACTGAAATTTGAAAGAGCATTGGATCGTTCGTGAAGTGTACCACCGGTGAGGTACTGATAATATTTCCTTCCTTTGCTGTATTATTCTACTTACAGTTACAGATCATGTGTTTATCATATATAATCTGGAATTGTCGATTTAAAATTCAACTGGTGCCTATTTCCTTCGGAAAAACCTGCGTACACATCTACACACTGCTAATATGAAATATAACATCAACTCACCTTGAAACATGAGTAGACGACCAGGAATAAGTAGACTCCAATGCAATAGACAAAGACGAAAACGGTGGCCAGAACGGTGAGGAACACAACGTCATCTGCGACAGGGGCAAGTCCAATGGCGAAAAATGCTATCGCAGCTATCGTCCCCACTGTCAGCCACAGGAAAGACAGCGCCAGGCACGGAATCATCAGCATCCTCTTCCTCTGAAGCATTCAATGGGTGCGTCGCTGCAAAATGGATCCTTAACAAAATTCCTCGCCTCGCTTTACTGTATGGGGATTAGGGATTTGACATGGATTTGACTTAGTCCAAATCCCTTCATAAGCCACATGAATATTTGAAGTTTTATGATGCACAGGAGCTATTTTAGGACAAATAATTTTTAATTCCCTGCCAGGTGAACAAAAAAAAACCCAACTTCTTTCGAGAGGCTTCAAAAACAAACCGTAAGAATTCCAAGGATGAGCAGGGAATCAGATATGATCCACAAGATGGAGAGAACCACGTTCGCGATTGAAAGATCGGTATATGCTGAAATGCAAAGGAGAGAATGATAAGAGAGACCGTTCGAGACCATCCGTCCATGATTATCGACACGACACATGCACAACTATGCGAAAATGGCGGATGAAGCATAATCGCGGATGCGAAGTTCGACACATTCGAGGAACCTATAACCTACCGGTTTCCGAGATGTACCGCGGGGTAAGAGCCGCCAATCCGGACTTCCACTCCACCTGCCCGCTCAAGAATGTCAGGCTCACCAGGAGGGAGAAAATGTAATACATCTGCAAGAGAATTTTCAGCACGCTGCTTCGTCTTCAAATTGGCAAATGGAAATTTGGAAATTCTTCGAGGAAGGTAAAAGTGAACTGAAATTAATAGAAAACTGATAAATATATTTTATTTTGTATTTGCGATACACGACACCTTGATGTTTTCCTCACAGTCACAGCAGCAAAAGATGCAGATGCAAATGATGCATCTATGCTTATTATTTTTGTTAAGCTTTTTTAAGCTTTTAAGTTTCTGGCACGGATAAGGCACAATATAAAAGACGAAATGGTAACAGCATATTATTTATTAAATCCTTTGCCTTTCGAGGTAAAAAAAAAAACAACTGAAAAAATTGACAAATAATTTAATTTTGTTTCCATGGATGGGATCCGAGCATGTTAAGCATGAAGCATGAAGCATGATGAACCGTGGCCGTCAATATTTCTGGGAACTAAAATATCCCGATTGAAGGACGTCAAAACGGTTTTAAATCTGAATGCGTACCAAAAATATATACCTATCCATGAAACTTCCGGTACGAACTCCTGCATCTTTTAACCGGATGAATTACATGCCGTCTGGCTATATTCGCTTCTATCGAATAAGTCACCATATGATGTTTCCAACGGCAGAACCTGAAACGATGCAGAACTAGGATAGTCAACAAAAAAAACAAACAAACAAACAAACAAAACAAAAATACAAAAATATATAGCTTAAGAGGGTTAGCCCTACCCTAAAATTAAGGAACGCTCGACCTCGACACGTGATATCAAAATGGGCGAAATGGCCTCTTGATGTCACTAACTACCTTGACTTGACTCTTGAGATGAAAACCCTACAATTAGTGAATTAGTGAATTAGTTCTTCTTTTCATGTCGATAGGAGAATCCGCCCGATCTTGCCCTCACTCAACCCGGCATTTTCTGACGGGATATTTTTTATTTAAATATACATGCCGCGGTGTTGTTTCGACTGATTTCAGCAAAGATTTGCGGGAACGTGGAAAATGGTTTCTGTGCGAAAACGCAATCCACGTTCATGGTGCAATTTTTGATAAGCCCGGAAAGTTTCAAATTTATTCTTTTTTTCCGTCACCGTGTCGACCTATGAAATTACCGACCAGAGCGCGGACTCCCTTTTGAAATAAATTCAAGAATTTCATGTTTCATTCTGTAATCGTCAATAATAGCCCAGAGAAGGCAAAATTCTCATCTGTTAATAATAATCTGCTCAGGAGGAACAACGAGCTGCCGATCACCGTCTTGTGCGAAGAAAAAAAATAAATCGGAAGAAAAATAATAAATCGGAAGAAAAAAAATAAATTGGAAGAAAAAAAATAAATTGGAAGAAAAATAATCCCGCAATAGGAGGAAATCAAAATGGAATCATTGCCTGCATGAAGACCGCAACGACGACGCTCCCCATGCTGATGCTCATGCGACCCCAGCAGCACTTCTTCACGACTGGGATCTTCATCTTCCGAAAGGGATTCCTCAAGATCTGTTTGTCGAAAAAAAAAAAGAAGATGAATGGGAATGGGAATTGGAGATGCGTGCCGTCGGGATGCTGGAAGAATTTATGAGGAAATTCGTAAGAGACGAATTAATGAGGTTGAATCATTTTTTATTTCTCACTTCATTTTGGTTCATCTTTTGGTCTTGAGCAAAAAACTGCGAATTTGCAAAGTAACCACTAAAAATTTAAAGTACACAAAAATTGTCAATTGCCCTTTTCCGCCAATTTTTCTCGGTACTTAATCCCCGCATCCCTCCAAAATGGAGGGATGTGGAACATTATTACTGGGAGACTAAACGGAAAAGATGATAAAAAAAAGTTCGCAATATTTTTGGTGATGAACCATGAGAACCTTTAATAACTGTAGCGGCTCCTGGACGAAAAATCTGGAGAGGCAGTCACGTGATCTTCACGATGAGCAGGAATTCAACAAGAACAAAATCAATTTGGGAGCAAGGAGCAAAAACGGCGCACGGGTCGACCCCGTCCCGCTTTATTAAATTGAAGCCGTGTGAAAGTAGAGCAAAAAATTGATTCTCCACCAAAGACCTGAGAGAGAGAGAGGGAGAGAGAGAGGGAGAGAGAGAGGGAGAGAGAGGGAGAGAAAGAGAGAGAGGGAGAGAGAGGGAGAGAGAGAGAGCATCGGCGCTACCGGTCGAGCCGACAAATTCCGGTCCGGCGACTTTCTGGCTTCTGAGAATTTTAGAACTTCCCCCGAAACGAGATCGCATCTTGCTCAATCACAGAATATCACGATCGTGCAGAATGTCTTCATCAATCTTCCAACTTTTGCAACCACGGAATTTGCGTATACATATAATATGCGCATATATATAATTTGCAATGGGGACGGTGAGACCGACAACCCCGTCCCTGTTACAGCCGAGTCTATCCCCGCCGACCTTGCAACGCCGGCATCGCCTCTTTTATGGCCACTCATTTATCAAGCGGCGTCTCGCGCTTGTCAATAACTCAGGGAAAAGGGACTCCGAGACCATCAGTCGCGGAATCCGTTCTAAGACGGATACTTCCTGCCGAGAAGTCACGGTAAAAATAAACATTTAATGGAGTTTCAGCCATTAAGACGTGATTCGTCCAAGCCCACGGTGTCGCGGAGGGACGAAGGGCGCGCGGAGGGATGAAGAGCGCGCGGAGGGACGAAGGACGCGCGGAGGGACGAAGGGCGAAGTCACCCTCTTCTCATATCGGAGAGGATGCAGATGACATTTAATGACATCCTTAATGTCTTAAAGTGTCGCAAGCTTCCGCGTGATCGATCGCATCTCACGCGTGCTGAATGTCACCCCCGTGCATTATCGGCGGGCCAGGGGAGGCATCTCACACGTGCTGAGTGTCACCCCTGTGCATTATCGACGGGCCAGGGGAGGCATCCCGTCTCTGGCCTCCCTCCGCGTTTCTGGGCAAGAGGCAGCTGTCAGAGACTGGGCTTCACTCGTTTGGCGTCAGTTGAAAAGATATCCAAAGGTCCTGAAATAGTAATTATTACAGGTATTTTGACATTTCCGAGTTTTATGGAAAAATTTAACCTTCGAAATGCTGCAGAGGTCGGACATCCTTTGCCATCCCTAAGGTGCTTAAGTTTAAGCTCCTCAGTAAGGTTAAGTTAAGTTAAGTAAGGAGTTTAAGTTCAAACGAAGGCCTCGGTTAACATTTGACCATCATCATATGCCAAAGCTGCAAATTAATTGACTAAATTTGCATTTGTTTACTTGCCTATGTACATCCTCTAACCCATGGCTCAACGTTACGCCTGCATCCGAAGAGCATTACGAAGGGTCTGAGCCGTCAGCATCGTAAAAGGAATCGAGCACACTTAAAACAACCGAACAGATAAAACAATTTTGCCCTCATCCGCGCGCCTGGGGGGGCATTGGTGGCTTCCGCAACAGGCCTTCCGAAATAGACTCTTGCAAGAACCCATTCTTTAACCTCGCTCCATCGACTTGTTAACCCGCACCCAACTATAAATCCGAATGCCAACCGAACTTCGCGCCCGAGCCAAGAAAAAAATAGTTTCATCCCTTGTTTCCGTTCCATTCCTTGTGCTCTCGAGGTATGCTGCTATGATCTCACCCCTCCCTTCTCCTTTATGTAGAGCGGGTGCGATGCCAACACTTTTTTTTTTAGAGTGCATCGTAATTCGTGTTTGTCCATTATCTGCAAATAATGGTTTCATGAGGATAATCTTTTTTTTTTTTATTCGTGGAAACCGTGCTCAACGGTTGATCGTTACGATACCTTCCAAATGCATACTTGACGTAACTTTTCATGTTTGCTGATCTTCACGTCATGCTTCCTGGAAATTCTGCCTATCTTGGGGGCATGTACAGGTACGAAACCATTGGCTACAGTTCGCCCGATGAAGGCGGGACATGCCCGACTATATGGCTGTAGCCATCTGGAGGTCATCCGACTGTCGGTGACGAGCCAGCTGGGGCTCGATTATGCCTCAAGCCATCGATGGCCTGCTCAAAAATAGTTTACTGGGATGCGGTGGCTGCTCTTTCTCTCAGGCGCTTTTAAAGGTCACTTAATGGACAAAAAAGACCAAGCAGTTTTGCTGCAATAAGTGATGAGATCGTACGTGGATGTGCCCTCATCCTACATCCAATCATCTAGAAATGCATCCGATCTGACCAGCAAGAAAGGTGATGGGAGAGGTTTTACCTACGAAGAGTCCATGGAGCCACTGAGAGCTGTGTGAACAAGACCGAAGACGATGACGGAGAGAGAACGCGATCTCCCGCTCGGGACAAACTGGTCCTTACTGCACACTCTCGGGACCATCCTCCCTCGCACGAAGGGCTCCTCGCCTCTGACTGGTCGGCGCCCAAGGAATAGCGAGGAGGGAGTGTGTGCCTGGAAACCGAACGGCGGCATCCCGGCATCCCTCGCGTGTTCCTGCGGGTGTGGCAGAATGCAGTGACCGGTGAAGGCAGTGCCTGCATTCAGAGAAATAACACGGTGTTATGTGTCATATGCCGCGCATGCATGAGTCCCGAGAGAGTTTATTAGGTTGATATTGGAAAACGCGCAATGAGTAGGGGGGGGGGAATGACAGATTCTGGAGATAGATTCATTTCTGGTGCGTCGTTTGACTCATCCCCATTTTGCCAAAACGTATTCCCGTGTCAGCGGAAACGGCTTCAGTATTACCAACGCATGGATTAATATTTCCGCACACACGCATATCCAATCGCCACCATTATAAGTTTTAACTCGACACTCCCTTCGTTCCTCGCCGGAAAGTTTTTTTTTAATTTCCTTTTTAAAGCAAGCACTTGAAACCATGAAGTCCACCCTGCGATATCATCTTAATTATTACTTTAATTTCCAGGGTTTTTTTTTCAGTCTTGTCCACAAACAGAGAGAAAACCCGAGAGATATCGAGGACCATGCCTTTAAACCGCGAGCTGCTTGGTCGAATTTGGCTCCGAATTTGTGAAATTATGGAGTTTCCAGCCGCGGCGTGGCACGTATGTAAATTCCCGCCACAAATTGCCTATTTTTAATTATTTATTCTTGGTTAGTGCCATTGTCCAAATAATCAATCGAAAATTCGATCAAAAATACCAGTTAAACCCTCAAAATTAAAATGTTCAGCGCCAACTTCTCGAAACTGTTACCAAAACCGTGCTAATAATGAGGGGGGGGGGGGGGAAGAAAATAAGAAAATTGGTACAGGCCTTGGCGAGGTGTGTAAAGGGCACTTCACCTCGAGTCGCTCAAAAAATGCGACTGTTTCACTCTCATTCGCGAATGCTGCATGAAAAACGACACGGAATGGTTTGGTACTCGGGATTGGGATGCGAGAGAAGAAAATATATATTGCACAAATTATAACAATTAAATTTCTGAAAAGACACAACGAATCATGCGTCTTTGGAAAGATCTCGAGATCGCGTTTTTAAGTATTCTACCCTTGATACTGTGCGTGTGGAAATGTTTTTAAAATTTAGTTAGCAAAAATGGGGAAATTCTTATTT